GGCCCCCCCCCCCCCCCCACCCAGCCAGCCCCTGGCCCACCTCGCCCTTTCCCACCTCCAGGCCTGCTGCCCACACAGCAGGGCTGCTGCTTCCCAGCCCTTCTCTAACCAGCCCCCCAAGCCATGCCCCCCCGCAGCACCGCTGGGCCATGGGGCCAGGCTGGGCCGTACCTCCTTGAGCAGCTGGCTCCAGCAGTCTAACCAGGAGGAGTAGTTGGGGGCATAGGGGGGGAGGCCGCCAGCCAGCCTGCAAGAGAGAGGGGGGGAGTGAGCAGAAGGCAGCCATGTGTCCCATGGGCCCCACATCCCCCCTCACACAGACCGGGCCGTAAGCCCTCACACCCAGCCCAGCCAAGGCCACCAGCAGCTGCAGCCCATCCATTCCCAGAGCCCCACACGGCCTCCCCTGGCCCACTTCCTGTCTGAGCCCTTCTGGGCGGCGTTGCTAGAACAGGGCGCACGAGGAGGGCAGACAGCCCAGGAGAGCAGCCTTTCTCCAGGGCACAGAGCCGACGCTCCCTGGGGAGATGGGCCAGGGCCGCGATGCTCCCTGGGGAGGGTGTGGCTGGCTCAGGCTGCCTCCCCCAAACAGGCCCAGGTCCGTCCTGGGAGGCTCCTGCCAAGCACCAGGGAGGGGGAGGGGACACGGGGGGAGGTGTCGCAGGGCCGTGGCACCACAGGACACTGCATGAGGGGAGAGGCGGGGCAGGGGGCAAGCAGGGAGCAGCAAGGGGGTATGTGTGTCTCATTTCCCTTCCCAGCCGCAGGATCCATGGATGCCCCGGTACCCCGGCCTGACCCGGGGGTCACTTTCACTTGCTCCGGCTCAGCTTCCCTCAGCTCTGGCAGCCTTGCTCTCCCTCAAACATCTCCCAGCACCTCCTGTGGCAGGGAGTTCCCCAGGCCTCTCCCACATGGTTGCGGGGAAAGTCACCTCTTGGCATTTGAACATGCTGCCCGCCTGGGGCCGCGCCTGGGCTGGGCTGAGCGCCCTGACCTGCCTGGGGCCCCTGGCTTGCAGACGGGCTCTCCCCACCCCCGAGGGTGCCCTCGCAGCGCGGGGGCAGGCAGCTGGCGCAGCCAGGGGGGCACTCACCCACAGTTGTTAATGGCCATGAGGTTGGAGACGAGGACGAAGGGGTACGTCAGCATGCTGGCGAAGAACTGCAGGCAGAGACGGGCCACGGTGAGTGGGGTGGGGTGCTGGCTCCACAGCCCTCCCAGTGCCCCGAGCCCAGGGCCGTGTGGGCGGGCAGCGCGGGGGCAGGCAGCTGGCGCAGCCAGGGGGGCACTCACCCACAGTTGTTAATGGCCATGAGGTTGGAGACGAGGACGAAGGGGTACGTCAGCATGCTGGCGAAGAACTGCAGGCAGAGACGGGCCACGGTGAGTGGGGTGGGGTGCTGGCTCCACAGCCCTCCCAGTGCCCCGAGCCCAGGGCCGTGTGGGCGGCGCCTCTTCCAGGAGCTGGGCCCCTGCTGGGCTGGGGGTCTGCGTCCTGCCCATCCCGGAGCACCAGGGGCCCAGAGAGCACAGGGCCTGCTTGGGGGGGCACTGGCCCAGCCCTGGGGAGGGGGCAGCCCACGTGCACTAGGAGCTCACCCACCACGTGGCGCCAGCTAGTGATTTAGACTCACGTCAGGATGTCAACCCCACGCCCCGGCACAGCTCTGTGGGGCTACTCCTTGGGGGTGCCCCTCCCCCACTCCAGGGCAGGTGCCATGGGGCTGCCCCCTCCCCCCAAGGGAGAGGAGAGGTTACACACGCACTCCAGTGACGGCCTGCGAGTAGCTCTTCATCTCGCTCATGGTGGAGACCTGGAGAGGGAGGGAAAGGCATTGAACAAGGAGACCCTGGGCCCTGCCGCAGCCTCCCCCCCGCAAGGGCCTGGCTCTGCCCCAGTTCCCCACCCCGAGCCCACAGGCTGGGCTGTGCCCGGGCCAGAAGCCCAAACAGC